ACTAATTTATTGGGTAACTTATATTATGACCACTTTCCATGTTCCTTTGTTCCAAATGATACCTAATTATATATAGCAAAATCCATAGTAATACAAATCTGCATATAAATATTATTTCTCGTAGGGTCCCTCCCTTAAAGGCAATAATTTTTTATAATGATCACCTCTCAGGATAGTTATTATATATATATATATATATATATATATATATATATATATATATATATATATATATATATATATAAAAAAAACTTTCCCCCCAATTCTTTTTACTGATAATGTTTGTTCATATAACAATTTTTGTATCCTCTCTAAGTACTTCTTACATAGTTACATAGTTAGGCTGAAAAAAGACAAAAGTCCATCCAGTTCAACCATAGGAAAAAAAAAAGGAAGGCAAAAAACCCCCAGCAAAGCGTCATCCAATTTGCTCCGCCGGGAAAAAAATTCCTTCCTGATCCCCCAAGAGGCAATCGGATATTCCCTGGATCATCTTTACCTATAAATGTTAATATCCAGTTATATTCTGTGCATCTAAGAAACAATCCAGGCCTTTTTTGAAGCAATCCACTGAGCTGGTCAAAAACAACTCTTGAGGGAGTCTATTCCACATTTTCACAGCTCTCACTGTGAAGAAACTTTTCCGTGTTTGGAGACTAAATTTCTTTTTCTCCAGACGTAAAGAGGGCCCCCTTTTCCTCTGGGATGACCTCAGGGTGAATAGCTCTACACCAAGTTCATTATATGAAGCACTGATGTATTTATACATGTTGATCATATCCCCCTTAATCTCCTCTTCTCAAGAGAGAATAAATTCAGTTCCTCTAATCTTGCCTCATAGCTGATCTCCTCCATGCCTCGTGTCAGTTTAGTTGCCCTTCTCTGTATTTTCTCAAGTTTCCCAATGTTCTTTTTGTGAATTGGTGCCCAAAACTGAACTGCATATTCCAGATGAGGTATTACTAATGATTTGTACAGGGGCAATATGATATCTCTCTTTCTGGAGTCTATACCTCTTTTAATACAAGAGAGGATTTTGCTCGCTTTGGAAACCGCAGCTTGGCATTGCATGCCATTATTAAGCTTGTGATCTACCAGAACTCCCAGATCCTTCTCCACCATTGATCCCCCCAGTTGTACTCCCCCTAGTATGTATGATGCATGCATATTCTTAGCCCCCAAGTGCATAACCTTACATTTATCAACATTAAATCTCATTTGCCACATAGTTGCCCAATTAAACAGTGCATTGAGGTCCGCTTGTAAATTGAAGACATTCTGTAAGGACGTTATGCCACTGCACAGCTTGGTGTCATCTGCAAAGACTGAAATGGGATTTTTAATCTCAGACCCTATATCGTTTATAAATATATTAAAACGTAAGGGTCCCAGCACTGAGCCTTGGGGTACACCACTGATGACCCAGACCATTCACAGTATGAATCATTAACCACTACTCTTTAAATGGATCTTTTAGCCAGTTTTCTATCCATTTACATACAAATTTTTCCAAGCCCGTAGACTTTACCTTACACATTAGCCGTGTGTGGGGGGAACCGTGTCAAATGCTTTTGCAAAATCCAAGTATACCACGTCCACCGCCACCCCTCTGTCCAAGGTTTTGCTCACCCCCTCATCAAAAGAAATCAGATTTGTTTGACAACTTCTGTCTTACATGAATCCATGCTGTCTGTTGCTTAAAATATATTTTTCCAGCAAGAACTCATCTGTGTGATCTTTTATTAAACTCTCCAGTATCTTCCCAACTATAGAAGTTAAACTAACAGATTTATAATTACTTAGTAAAGATTTTGACCCCTTTTTAAATATCGGTACTTACGCCAATCCAGTGGTACTATCCCAGTCATTCTTATCGATACATATTTAGCTGTTCTATACTAGTTTTTAATGCATCTGCCTCTCTTATCTGCTATTGGTTGGTTTATTTTGATGTTATAGCTGGGCCATATAGTCCGCCCGTTGGGATAGATAAAAAAAAGCCCACAACAAATATGGCTGCATTATGACCTGAGGAAGGAGCACAAATACTCCAATCAGCTAGCCCAGGGGTGGGCAACTGTGGCCCTCCAGCTGTTGTAGAACTACAAGTCCCACAAGGCATTGCAAAGCTGACAGTTACAAGCATGACTCCCAAAGGCAGAGGCATGATGGGACTTGTAGTTCACCAACAGCTGGAGGGCCACAGTTGCCCACCCCTGAGCTAGCCTGCTCTCTGACCTCCCCTTCCAGTGATATCACAGCTGTCGGCTTTGGCATCTCCAAGTGTCTTGGAGCCATGGAAAACACGTGTGTGTCCTGGGAGATAATTTGCTGAAGGAGGAGAAAGTTGTGTTTTAAGTGGAAAGCCTGAACCGCCATTGCTCTGATTTTGGAGTCATCTGAGCTTTGTCTGCATAATCTTTTTAGTTTGGAAATGCACTTACCGAAAGTGAGTGCCTGAGTGCGTTAGAGATCACTTGGTGTTGAAGATTATTTTCCTACATTCATGTGGTGGAGGAAATTTAAAGACTATTTACCATTGGATATTTTTTTACAGATGCACATATTAATTTAATTAATTTGTTTGATGAAGGAAATTTAAGGACTATACACCACTGGACATTTGTTGCACATACTGCATATATATTTTTTTGTGTGCATATTGTGTTTACGCTTAAATGCATGACTTAGTGCCAATTCGCACATGTGCGGTGTGGCTTTACTGCTGCGGTTTCACTGTGAATTGAAAAGCAATCTTCAGTGGTTCAGGTCTGGTTTTGAAGAGAGAAAACCAGCCTGAAATATTTTTCACCCATGAAATGTGCATTTCAGAAGTAGCTCCATAGAAGTATCTCCATAGAAGTCAATGAGCTTGTAATCCACACCTGAACTGGACCACACTGCATTGAATCCGCACTGCCCGTGCACTGGTCGTATGTGAACAGGCACTTAAGAGTTTATAGATTCCTTATTCGTTATTTGTTTTTATCAGCGCTGTATTGTTGTTTTAGTTATATACTTTAGGTTTGATATATATAAATATATTTTTATATATATATATATATATATATATATATATATATATATATATATACAGTTGTGTAGTGTTCAAAATTACTAACCTGATCAATCACTGTTTTTGGTATAAATTATATTTCTACATGGCAAATAATTTACTAGCAGGTGTAGTAGAGTAATAGAAATCCAACAGACCCAACAGTCATGACATGCATGCTGCTGATTCTGTGTAATTGAATCACTAATTGAAAGGGGCATGTTCAAAATAATAGCAGTGTAGAGTTCTATTAGTGAGGTCATTCATTCTTTGAAAAACAGGTGGCAATTATTGCCCTTATTTAAGGAAGGAAGGCAGCAAATGTTGTACATGCTGGTTACAGTGCATTTCTCTCTGAAGTTCTGAGGAAAATGGGTCGTTCCAGACATTGTTCAGAAGAACAGCGTACCTTGATTAAAAGGTTGATTGGAGAGGGGAAAACATATAAAGAAGTGCAGAAAATGATAGGCTGCTCAGCTAAAAGGATTGCAAATGCTTTAAAATGGCAACCAAAACCTGAAAGACGTGGAAGAAAGTGAAAAACTACCATTCCAATGGATAGAAGAATAGCCAAAAAGGCAAGGACTCAGCCAACAATCAGCTCCAGGAAGATCAAAGAAGGTCTAAAGTTACCTGTGAGTACTGTTACAATTAGAAGACGCCTATGTGAAGCCAAGTTATCTGCAAGAAGCCCCTGCAAAGTCCCCCTGTTAAAAAAAAGATGTGCTGAAGAGGTTACAATTTGCCAAAGAGCACATTGACTGGCCTAAAGAGAAATGGCGCAACATTTGTGGACTGATGAAAGTAAGATTGTTCTTTTTGGGTCTAGTGGACGGAGACAGTTTGTCAGATGACCCCCAAACACTGAATTCAAGCCACAGTACACTGTGAAGACAGTGAAGCATGGTTGCACAAGCATCATGATATGGGGATGTTTCTCATACTACGGTGTTGGGCCTATTTATCGCATTTATAGAATTTCAACTACCAGAGGACCATAGATGCTACTACAATCATTTATCTAAATATATCAAGTTCCAGCAATCTTTGATAGACTATGCAATTGAGAATCAAAGATATTCAATATTTGATCTTTATTCTCCACTAAACTACCAATTAACCACACTGCAGAAACACTTGCTATTAAAAGGGTGGACCAAGGAATTCCCAGATGAGGCACTAAATGACAAACTTCTTGGAAGCTATCATAAAATTCGCATTCTAATCATAAGCAAAAAATTGAGGAAAACACAATTTAAGCTTACTACATCAAGCTTTTATGTCCTTCTTGGTTGAGAAGTCAGATCCCTCAGCCTCAACCTGCTCTTGGTGTGGCACCATACGACCCACTTTACTTCATAGAATGTGGACCTACACCCATATATCTACCTTTTGAGACCAGATTTTAACCACTTACCTACAGGGCACTTATACCCCCTTCCTGCCCAGGCCAATTTCCAGCTTTCAGCACTGTCGCACTTTGAATGACAATTGCGCGGTCATGCAACACTGTACCCAAATAAAATTGTTATTTTTTTGTGACAGAGCTTTCTTTTGGTGGTATTTAATCACTTCAGGGTTTTTTATTTTTTCTTAAACCAAAAACCACTGAAAATTTTGAAAAAAAAGTTTTTTCTTAGTTTTTGTTATAAAATTTTGTAAGTAAGTGATTTTTCTCCTTCACTGATGTGCGCTAATGAGGCTACAGGGATGGGCACTGATAGGCTGCACTGATGAGGAGGCACTGGTAAGTGGCACTGATGGGCATTGACAGGCATCACTGATGGGCATTGAAAGGCAGCACTGATACGTGGCACTGATATATGGCACTGACATATGGCACTGTTAGGCGGCACTGACTGGCACTGTTAGGCGGCACTGAATGGCACTGTTAGGCGGCACTGATGTACACTGATAGGCAGCACTGACTGGCACAGATAGGCGGCACTGACTAGCACTGATATGTGGCACTGATTGGCAGCACTGTTAGGTGGCACTGATTGGCACTGATGGATGACACTGAACGGCAGCTCAGATGGGCACTGATATGTGGCATTGATGTGCACTGGTATGCACTGATATGTGGCATTGATGTGGCACTGATGGGCACCAGCACGTGGCACTGATCGGCACTGACAGCTGGCACTGATTGACTTTGACAGGTGGCACTGCTGGGGCTACACTGATCATCAGGGCACACTGATCATCAGTGCCCTGATGATCAGTGTACATGTCGCCTCCGCAGAAAGCCGACTACTGGCTCTCCTCTCCTCTCGAGCTGTCAGCGTGACAACTCGAGAGCAGAGAAATGCTGATAACATGGCATTTCCATGTTTACATGTGATCAGCTGTGATTGGACACAGCTGATCACATGACCGAGCCGACATCTTCGGCTCTTTCCATGATTGGTGATCCGCTGTGTCCGAGGGACACAGTGCACCGCCGATCGCCGCGCTGCACGCTCCCTGAACTGCATGCGCATTGAGAATGGGAGGACGTCATATGACATCTTCTCAGAACGAGAGAACCACCTTGCGCCCACCAATGGACTATATGGCGGGTTGGAGGTGGTTAAATTACATACATACTATATCAAGGATATAAATTGAAAAAGACCCCCTGATCTGCCTATTTGGTTATATTGATTCTCCATCATCAGGACTTTCAAAACCAATTATGATACTAACATGGTCATCACTGTGTTTACTAAGCCTTGGATATCACCAAATGCTCCAAAACTAACTTTGATGAAAAGAGAGCTAAAATCTTTAATGTACATACAAAAAATGGATATGATTACACAAACCCTAAACTCTACTAAGCATTTCTTCAATCACTGGCAAAACTTTATGGAACACTCATTGTAAAATTCTGAAATATCCCAGATAATGACACCCTTCCTGCACACTGAATGGTATATGAAAGCAAATCAAAAGAATTATTTGGGTAGACTACAAATCCATCTAAATGCTAATATTATTAATGAGCTGTGAAAATTCTATAGATCTTCAACACCATAAACCATGATACTATCGACAGACAACATTCACTCTATATTATTATTAATATAGAGGATTTATTTTCTTCTTTTTATTTCTGTCTTTATTCCTTTTTTTTCATATATATATATATATATATATATATATATATATATATATATATATATATATATATATATATATACACCGTATCTCGCAGAAGTGAGTATACCCCTCACATTTTTGTAAATATTTTATTATATCTTTTCATGTGACAACACTGAAGAAATGACACTGTTATACAAGCTGTAAACTCACTACTTCACATTGTAGCAGTGTAAATTTGCTGTCTCCTCGAAATAATTCAACACAGCCATTAGTGTCTAAACCGCTGGCAACAAAAGTGAGTACACCTCTAAGTGAAAATGTCCAAATTGGGCCCAAAGTGTCACTATTTTGTGTGGCCACCATTATTTTCCAGCACTGCCTTAACCCTCTTGGGCATGGAGCTCACGAGAGCTTCACAGGTTGCCACTGGAGTCCTCTTCCACTCCTCCATGATGACACTGTTCTGTCTCTCCAATCTAAGCATTGATAGTGTGATCTCTGTAACTTACAGTTGTAATGAGATAGCGATAACTTCAACCTCACTTGGATACCACAGTCAGTGACTCAATGAGAATGACATCTTGTAGACCCTGTGAAGTTTATTCCATAAATTGAGAGAATCTTACAACAATGAAGATTCCATAGGTCAAAAGATCATAATGTTTCTGCTCCATGCTATGAGGCTTGCTGCAGTGCCTTACTGGAAAAAGGGGTGGGCTATCTATACAGCATTAACTAAACCAAAGGAAAGGGAGGAGCAGAGACAAAACACAAACACTTGAAGGCATATGACAGTCAATATGTCTGTCATGAAACATGACAATCACGGAGCTGGTGGATGTTAGAGACCTTGCGCTCCTCCACCTTCTGTTTGAGGATGCCCCACAGATGCTCAATAGGGTTTAGGTCTGGAGACATGCTTGGCCAGTCCATCACCTTTACCCTTCTTTAGCAAGGTAGTGGTCATCTTGGAGGTGTGTTTGGGGTAGTTATGTTGGAATACTGCCCTGCAGCCCAGTCTCCAAAGGAAGGGGATCATGCTCTGCTTCAGTATGTCACAGTACATGTTGGCATTCATGGTTCTCTCAATGAACAGTAGCTCCCCAGTGCTGGCAGCACTCGTGCAGCCCCAGACCATTACACTCCCACCCCCAATGCTTGACTGTAGGCAAGACACACTTGTCTTTGTACTCCTCACTGGTTGCCACCACACATGCTTGACACCATCTGAACCAAATAAGTTTATCTTGGTCTCATCAGACCACAGGACATGGGTCCAGTAATCCATGTCCTTAGTCTACTTGTCTTCAGCAAACTGTAAGCTTTCTTGTGCATCATCTTTAGAAGAGGCTTCCTTCTGGGACGACAGCCATGCAGACCAATTTGATGCAGTGTGCGGCATATGGTCTGAGCACCGACAGGCTGACCACCCACCCCTTCAACCTCTGCAGCAATGCCTGCAGCACTCATACGTCTATTTCCCAAAGACAACCTCTGGATATAACGCTGAGCACGTGCACTCTTTGGTTGACCATTGCGAGGCCTGTTCTGAGAGGAACCTGTCCTGTTAAACCGCTGTATGGTCTTGGCCACTGTAATGCCTATGAAATGTGTTGGCCTTGGACCCTTTGTTTCTTGGGTAATATTTACAATAAAACATTGTTGCTCAAATGCTAGGGGCATGAGAGGTGACTGATGTCATTTCTCTAAGCCAAAGGAACAGAGTCACAAGATATTCTGCAGAGAGCAAGATAAAAAAAATTTTATGGAATGAAACGTGTTTATGACATCTATTGTGTCACATTAGAAGAAAAAACCTGTTTAAAGATGTCTACTTGCTTGAGAAATTAGAAATCCTTAAGTTTGGGTAGATGAGAAGAAGTTTAGGGCAGATAAAAAAGCAAAAATGTGACTCTTCAGATAACGAATATGATGGTTGAACGTGACTCTGATATCCTCGCGTTACATTCTGCTAGCTCCTCCTATGGTGGGTGTGGCACCCGCCCACTATTGGACAGCTTCCAGAAAAATGGTTTAAAAAGCTGGCGGTCCAGGCAATACTGGTAGGAAGCCCCCTCCCCCCTAGTTGCCAGAGGACGCTCTGACGCTGGGATTTTTGCCAAGGCTATATGGGCTCATCAACCAGTCGCACCGACGGCTTCCACGTGACCCCCTGGGCAGTATGGTCCCGATGGGATTTGTTCCTTCCCACTTCCACATAGCTTTGGTAATGTATTAATTCTGTTCTGTGACGCTGTCAAATGATGTCTATTTCATGCTGTAATGCTCACACTCTTACTGGTGTGTGTTATTATGCAGATTGTGATGACTATAAGATATATCCTCCTGTGTGTCGTGAGATAATAAAAGTGGAGGTTTTGACAGTGCAAGAATATTGCAGTTGGATTCTGTTATTTCTTGGAATGCCGCATGAATGCTATGATGTGCCAGGGCAGGTATTCATTTAGTAGATGGTCTTTCACATACATAGAATAATGGTTTAAATGCTGATTAAAAGGTACCTGCATGACTACATGTTGATTTTGGGCGTGTATATGACTTTCTTCTAGTTATTGCACCCAGCATTTTCCAAGACCCTGAAACTGAGCTGCAACACGGTGGGTGTAATACAATCTTCTTATAGCCTAGGCCATCTTTATGTAGAGCAACAATTCTTTTTTTTCAGATCTTCAGAGAGTTCTTTGCCATGAGGTGCCATGTTGAACTTCCAGTGACCAGTATGAGAGAGTGAGAGCAATAACACCAAATTTAACACACCTGCTCCCCATTCACACCTGAGACCTTGTAACACTAACGAGTCACATGACACCGGGGAGGAGAAATGGCTACTTGAGCCCAATTTGGACATTTTCACTTTAGGGGTGTACTCACTTTTGTTGCCAGCGGTTTAGACATTAATGGCTGTGTGTTGAATTATTTTGAGGGGATAGTAAATCTACACTGTTATACAAGTACAAGCTGTACACTCACTACTTTACATTGTAGCTAAGTGTCATTTCTTTAGTGTTGTCACATGAAAGGATATAATAAAATATTTACAAAAATGTAAATTAAATACTATATAGTATTAAATATAGTCACTGAATGCCAGACTTGGTGGGAACTGTTCCTATGTGATACAACAGTTGGAATCGGGCAGCTTCTATGGATGTTTTAAATGCAGCTCCTAAAAGTAAAATGATGGATAATGCAACCTTATCAAAGAAAACAATATGTGCAACCCAAAATACACCATCATCAAATAAATTATGAAACACATAAAATAGTGCCAAAGACAAGTATCACAGCTCCTGGAGATGTCCCATCAGATGAAACACATGTAGAGCAGAGTTGGTGCTTATTGACATCACAAACACTGCTGTCAAGATTGGCAGCAGCGTTTCTGTAAGCTTGTTGCTGTTTGTATGTTTTTATTGATACAGATACAGGAACATTACAGGGGAGCAGCAGGGCACAATACTGGGATCATGAAAGCACAGAGGGGAGCAGAAGGGCACAGTACAGGTGGGGAGGCAAAAGAGTATAGTACAGAGGGGGCAGGAGGGCATGGGACAGGAGTGCACCATACGGGGGAAGGAGAGGGGCAAAGTACAGTGGGGCAAAAAGGCAGAGTACAGTGGGGAAGGAGGCAGGAGGGCACAATATGGTCAGGGGGCAAGAGATCACAGTATAGGGGGCCAGGAGGGCACAGTATGGGGGGCATGAGTGCACATACGGGGCGGCAGGAGGGCACTGCATAGGGTGGACAGAAGTGCGCAGTACAGAGGTGAAGGAAGGCACAGTACAGAGGGGTCAGGAGGACACAGTACAGGAGGGTAGGCGTACACAGTAGAGGGGGGCATGAGGGCAGAGTACAGGCTAGGGCAGAGGGGCACAGTACAGAGGTAAGGAAGTATCCCATCAACATCTGTCAGTGTACCAGTGCACAAAAACATCTGTCACAGTGCACATCAGCAATAGTGTCCCATTGCAACATCATAATCTGTCGGTGTCCCTAGTGGACCATCAACAGCTGTCACAGTGTACAAACATCTGTCAGTGTACCAGTATCCCATCAACATCTGTGTCCCTATTGGACCTTCAACATCTGTTGGTGTCCCTAGTAGGCCGTCCGTCAACATCTGTCAGTGTCCCCAATTTGATAGGTAGTCTGAAAATTGGATGTGCAATTTTTGCCACTATTTATGCACTGAAGGTGCCCCTTAGATTTTGGGCCTCTCTATGTGGCTAGGCCTTGAAAAAGTCTCACACATAATATTATCACTGTACTCAAGAGGAGTAGCAGAATGTATTTTGGGCTGTATTTTTTAGTATGTTCAATCTGTGTGTTAGC